GAGGAGGAGGCAGAGGAGGAGGAGGAGGAGGAGGAGGAGGAGGAGGCAGAGGAGAGGCAGGGGGAGAGGGAGGAGGGGAGGGAAAAGGAGAAAGAGGAGGAGGAGGAGCAGGAGGAGGAAGAGGAGGGAAACGAGAACCTGGAGTCGGCGATGCATCGCGGATGAATGGTCGATGGGCCCGCGACAGGGGAGACCCCGCGTGCCTGACACGGGGCGCACGGGCCCCCATCGGCGAGAGGTTTTCGCAATCGGGGGTAGCTGCTGCTCCCTTCTGGGGCAGGCCGGAAGCGGAGGAGGAGGGGGAGGACGAGGAGGAGGAGGAGGAGGAGGAGGAGGACGAGGGAGGAGGAGGTAGGAGGAGGAGGAAGAGAGAGGATGAGGATGGAGAGGAGGAGAGGTGGAGGAAGGAAGGAGGAGGAGGAGGAGGAGGAGGAGGAGGAGAGGGGGAGAAGGAGGAGAGGAGGAGGACGAAGGGAGGAGGAGGAGGAGAAGGACGAGGAGGAGGAGGGCACGCGGTGAGGAGGAGGAAGGGGAGGAGGAGGAGGGGGAGGAGGAAGACGAGGAGGAGGACGAGGAGGACGAGGAGGACGAGGAGGACGAGGCCCTGGAGGATGCTACGAGGTCGGAGGATCGGGGCGCGAAGCCTGGGGCGGCCCTTCGCGGGCAACCTCCCGAGCCCCTTGCAGCGGAGTCCCGACCACAGGAGACCCTCCACAAGAAACCCGACCACAAGAGACCCAGGACGTCCATGGACTGTTGCTGCGGGCACGCCACGCTTTCCGCCGCCAAACCATCGAAAGCCAAGGAACCCAGAGCATCCTGGAGGCGAACGGGGTGCTTCCTGGGACAGGCCCCTCTCGCCGGCGGTCCTGGAGGCCTACGAGGCCAGAGGATCGGGGCTCGAAGCTCGAGGCGGCCCTTCGCGGGTGACCTCCTAAGCCATTGCTGCTTTCTGGGCTTCCGGCCGAGAGTGTCAAGGCCAGTGGAAGCCTGCCACCAGCATCAGGCCGGGTACGCCCCCGTACGTGCAGATTGCGGACGAAACCAAGAACGGTAAAAAGTTGCTCAGAAGTAGCCAAAAATCATAGAAGCATCGTCCTCAGACTGCAGTGGGGGCTCATGCCAAGAAACCCCCTGCTCGCCTCCAGGGTGCCCTGGGCTTCTTGCGTTTCGATGGCTTTGCGATGGAAGGCGAGACGTGCAAACTCACCAGAAATCCATGGGCGTCCTGGGGCCTCAGGGTTGGGATTCCTGTGGGAGGGTTCTTGTGGTCGGACCTCCACTGCATGTTAAGGCTATCTTCGAACCTTCCTCCTGCAGACGGGCACGCCTCACCCGACGCCGGCAACGGCGGCATCCTCGGCAGTGGGCGCTCGAGGGTCGAGGCGCCGGGCCCCTGGGAGAGCCTGCTCGCCGCCACGCCCCAGCACGATCCTCGATGCTCGGAGCAAGGCACGCACCCCAGGGCGGGTCTGCAGTGGAGGCCCGACCACCAGGAAGCCGTCCACAAGAAACCCGACCACAAGAGACCCCAGGACGCTCATGGGTTTCTGGCGAGGGCACGTCACGCGTTCCATCGCAAAGCCATCGAAACGCAAGAAGCCCAGGGCACCCTGGAGGCGAGCAGGGCGTCTCTTGGCATGGGCCCCCACTGCAGGGCAGGAAGGCCCGAGCGTTCCGGGGGGTAAGACCGGGGACTGCGAGGCTCGAGAAACCAGGACCGAGACGACGGCTGCATGGAACCGGGCCGAAAACAACCACACAAATCTCCGAAGCCCCGCGAATCTTGAGGATGCATCGGGCGCCGCGGCCGTTCCAGAGCGTTCCGGAACGCGAAGCTCCGGAACGATCCATCTTCGTCCTAGGCTGAAGGAAGATCGAGGAGTACCCGTCTCGAGGATCGGGGACCCAGACATCCGGCGCTCAAATCCCACCAGCCCTCTGGGCGTAGGTGGTCTAAAGAGTTCTTCCTTTCCTCCTGCAAAACCCCTCTTCCCTTCGGGGAGGGGTTTCCTTCGGGCCGCACCACCTCCACAGAAAACGCAGACGACATCCTATGACATAATTGACTCGTATAAGTTATGCGCATGGCGTGTGCATTGGACTCCACGTGTCAAATGACATTATCGTTGGCACAGTCCTGCTGCTCCTGAAAAACTGCTGCCCTGCCTGAAAGAGTATCCGATCACATCCTCTTGTCATTCCGAAGACAGGTTCGCAAAACGTATGATCATAGATTGGGCGAGGACTCTAAATGCGATACCTTATCGCGGCCATCCTAGCCTCAAGTCAGCAATCAATGGCCTGATGCCAAAAATTGGTGAAGCGAGCCCCGCTCATGACCCTGTTCCTTCTCAGCAGCTCGCTGACCAGCAACATCCTTCCCGCCAGGCGCCAGGAGACAAGGCATGCGGCAACTTGCAACAAGCTCCACTGGGCAAATCTTCCTCATCGCTCTCGCATGATTCCCTTCCCTCCCTCCCTCCCTCCCTCCTCCACC